GCCAACTTAATTTCAACTGGATGAGGCAGTGCAGGACTCACTAGGTTCTGTGATTCTATTTCCCACAGACTCTAAAAGTGATCACTAAATACTCGGTTCAGCATATGAATTCAGGGTCTTTCTTCACATCCATGCTAAACAGCTTAGTTTGCTCCAAATGTTACTATATGTGTAAAACATTAATATGCTGGAGAGAAAAAATCATTTCTGAGCAATCTGATTTACACAGTGAACTATTATTCCTGACATCTACCAATGATATATGAACTTATTTGGATTGCAGGAAAATGCACTGTAGCAGAAAGGCTGTCTTAAAAAGAAGAGTGGTGTGGTGCTATAGAATTTATAGTTGTCGGCCTTCTTCTATCCCAAAGGTACCAGGGAAGGCTTTCTGGAGGAAGTGATTAAAGGTAACATCTGAAGGATTTTGTTAAGGCCAAGCTGTTGCAAAGGATTAGAGGAATCAATTGCAAACAGAGAAAAAAATTGGGAAAAAATACTCAGAGGCAAAAAGGCATAAAGCAAAACCAAACCACCCCAAATCCAGGAATTGTTTTTTTTTTTTCTGAATCCCTCAAAGTTCTACATGGCTTCTGTTACTATAAGGAGTAGTACCCAGAAAGTAAAGACAATCTGAAATATCAGTAGAAAAAAAAAAAAACAAAAGATTGAAGAGGAAGATATAAAGATTGCCATTATAAAGTAGATAATTGTAGTCATGTCCTGGAGGCAAATGTGGACCCAATTTCATTAATGTGTTGCATTTCCATTTTCAATCAGTGCAGAATTCTTTCAAATTTACGTTTTGATTTATTTAATAAAAACTTTATTTTTTTACTTTTTTTTAATAATAAATTTTATTTTTATATTCCCCATACAATTGCAACCCCCCCATTCTGACCCCAATCCCTCCCCTCCCGCCCCCCACCCCCAAAAAGTGTCTCTGGTTCATAGTTTTTTGTTGATTTTGATTTTTACTTTCTTATAGTTATTCTTTTTCCTGGTCCCTTAGTTAAGTTTTCTAGATTCCTGCTATGAGTGAGACCATCCGGTATTTTTCTGTTTCTTTCTGGCTTATTTCGCTGAGCATGATCCCTTCCAGCGCCATCCATGTTGCTGCAAATGGCATGTGTTTATCTTTTTTGAATGTTGAGTAATATTCCATGGTGTATATGTACCACATCTTCTTGATCCAGTCATCTATTTTTGGGCATTTGGGCAAAACTACCATGAGATACCATCTTACACCAGTGAGAATGGCACGTATTAAAAAAACTAGCAACAACAAATGTTGGCGAGGGTGTGGAGAAAAAGGAACTCTTCTACACTGTTGGTGGGAGTGCAAACTGGTCCAACCACTATGGAGAGCTGTGTGGAGATTTCTGGACCTACTAAACATAGAGCTTCCATATGATCCAGCAATTCCACTCCTAGGTATTTACCCAAAGGACACAGAAACATCAATTCCAAAGAGCACCTGCACCCCTATGTTTATAGCAGTAATTGTTTTAAGGAGCTAAGATAAGTTCGGTAATTTCGGAGGTGAGAGAGCAATGGTGTAAAATGAAACTAGAAGCTGGCTTGTGTGTGTGTGTATGTGTGTGTGTATGTTGTGTTGTGTAAATATGTACATATATATGTGTGTGTGTTGGCTATATCTATGTATCTTTTGTCTGTCCATCTGTCGGACAGGTTCTGTTTCCCTGGTGGAGCTCTGAGTGATATGCACACAGCGTGAGAAGGGAGAATACCCTGGAGCCCATGAGGACTCAGTAGCTCCTGCACTAACCTCTAATCACCTCCAAGCCACCAACTCCAATGATTCTGGTGACCTGTTGAGAACCTGGCGTCCGGTGTCATGGACTGAATACAGACTCTGTCCAGCAGCTGGAGAAATAGCAGGATCCAGCAGGGTTGCTGCAGCACTAGCTACTGTGTCACGGCCACAAAGTGAACCAGCAGATCCACGACAAGGTACAAAGGCTGAAAGCCCCGGACTTTACACAGTCCCATCTAGTGTTCACGTGGCCGCTGAGCATGGCTGCCTTCCCAACCTGGCTCAGACAGCCCCTGGGCCCCATCCCAGCCCTGAACACCAGAGGGAAGGGGATGCCAGAAAACACTGTTCCAACTTAACTGGTGGGACGCAGTACCCATGGCCAGGGGGAGGTTTCTGGAAACACTGGGTCATTGGTGAGAACATGCAGACCCCCACTGGCAGCATGTCTCAAAATCAGGGATTCGCTTCTAAAGAATGGGAGGGTGGACATTGGGGCAATAGCTCATCCTGTCTGCCAGTGTTGCTGTTTATGGGACCCATGTCCTACTCCTACAGCTGAACGTTTAGGGGGAAACAGATACTATACAGCCATGTGTTAACTTTTGAGTTTTCACCAGAATACAAATACTTTATAGTCCCCTTGGAAAACTTCATGGAGTGTTTTGCTGCAACTCACATCTCAAAGTATTAACCCCAGGAGAGCAGTGAACCACAAGGAACAGGTGATTCTTCACCCCAGGTGTCAAGAGTGTGTCTTAGATTAGCAGTAGGCCTTTTTAAAGGCCCATCGAGGGGATGTTTACTTTCTTTGAAAGAGAAAATGCAGGGTCAGTGACTTGGGCCCTCCCATCTTCATGAGGTGTCTTGGGGGAATCCGCTTTTGTATAATGAAAAGATCAATGTATATTGTGGATTAACATAGATAAAGTGGAGTTTATGGCAAGGCCCCTTTGTACAATTTCAGGCAAATCGACTTCTGCTCCTATCTGTGCAGTAATCATGTAGGATGTCTCTTGCACCTTCCCACCAGCCAGGCAACGTATGTACATGAGCCAGTGCCAGGAGGCATCCACCCTTACTATTATTCACATTTTGCAGAAAAGGAACTGAAGCCCAAAGATCGCAGAAACAGCCAGAATGAACCAGGACTTGGGGCATAGAGCCTCTCTTCTGCACTTTCCTGATGCCCCTTGGATGCTGACTCATCCCTGAAACTATATGGCCAGTACTTTCTCTTCAGGGGAGCAGGAGAGTGAAAAGGGGAGAAAGCATTTCAGCAACAATTAGCTCACAGGTAAATGGAAAGTCCCATTAATTAGAAGCCCCTTTCTGGGATCACCCTGACCCAGTAGTCAAATAAGTAAATAAAAGCCTCCTACTCTCTTGGGATCAGCTCAAAGCACAAGGGAGGCTGGGGGTGGAGGCTAGGGAAGGCCCCCCAGGAGGTGGGTGGGCTGCACCTCTACTGCAGACCCGCAGGGGGGGGTCCCCTTAGGTGGGATCCAGGCTTCTTTCCACAGCTCCTGGGCCAGCCCTTTGAGCTAGGTTTTGTGGGACCGGGTTGTTCCTGTGCCTTGTGGCTGCCAGGATCTTCCAGGGGGGTTGTACAGCCCTGGAAGGATTTGAAGGACTATGTGAAGGGGAAAGAAGCAGCTTGGAAACCAGACATCAGCCTAGAAGCTTCTGCATGGGTGCAATAGGGTCCATTTTCTGTTGAAGGTGAGAATCTGCAGCATTGTTTTCTTCTGTGTCACTGGGCACGAAATCCATATTCACCACCACAGCTAGCAGGGGTTTTATTTTTTGTTTTTGGTTTTTTTTTTGAGGGGTGGATATAGTGGGAGGAGTTGGTGTGGGAATTGAAACTGGGCCCACCCCTCTGTGTGAGTTACAGTGACAGACACCTGGGAGCTCTCCTGTAAGCTGGCAGTCAGGTGGCAGAAGATGTGATGTTTCATTGTCCTTCACCTCCCTTTCTAGCTCTTTGGGACCACGTGATGACAGACCAAACCCCAAGCAGGTTGAGGGTTACAGAAAATATGAAATGAGCCTGAAGCCCGTAAATCCACGGAGGATTTTTCTCCAAGGCCCTTGGAAACAATAGGTCCCCAGCATGACAAAGTGCCTGCCTGCCATTCACCTCTGATTTCAAAATGCACTTGGCTCTCTATTTCTCTTTGTAGCTTGGAGATGGAACCAACGCCAGACAGACAGCCCAGTAGCAACCAGCATCCAGAAGGCTGGAGATATTGCTGCCATTCACAGAATTTATGAAAATCCCCTGTCTCTGGAAGGCTCTCCCAGCTCCAAACGCGGAGCGCGGCGGGTGAGTCCCTGCAGCAGCTGGCAGGAGAGCTATAAATAGAGCCGGGCGGGAAGCGCCCTCCGCTGGGGGAGCGGGCTGGGGGGGATCCCGGGTTCCCCCTCCACCCGCTGCGGTGCGCCCTTGGCGGGGGATGCCGGAGCCTCGCAGGCGCGCGCGCCACGTTAACCCTGGAGCTCCCGGGGCGCCGCAGCCGGGGAGGGCGAGGGCGAGCAGCCTGGTCCTGGAAACCGAGACGCGGTGGGGAAAACCCTCGCCTGTGGAGTCTCCTACTCCGTGGCTTTCCTCGGCGACTCTGGGTAACACCTGGGATGCGGCCTGGAAACCCACTGGAGGGAGTGAGTTCCAAGGCTTTCCCCCGCTTGAATCCAGATGTTAAAATGGAAACCATCCCCAAATTTGGTTCAGGGCTGGGTCTCCTCCCCTGTTCTGCTTTTATGCTGTTACTTTCCTCGGGAGGGAATTATCAAGTGCCAATGCGCGCGCGCGGGTGTGTGTGTGTGTGTGTGTGTGTGTGTGTGTGTGTGTGTGAGAGAGAGAGAGAGAGAGAGAGAGAGAGAGAGAGATTTTGGCGCATGCACACCCCTCTGTAGTCTCAAGGTCGGCAGTACCCCGAGCATTTTGGACCCCCGCTGCTCCGGCTCAGCCCAGCCGCCAGGGACTCCAGGAGGAGGGAGTCCCCAGTCCCGGTGGGGCAGGGCAGGCAGTGACCCGGTTTAGCATTTAGCACGGTCGGTGCTGAAGCACGGACAGGCAAGTAGGAGCTGGGTTCTCCGAAGGTGGACCCCGGTCAGTCTGCAGTGGACAGCTGGGGCCCCCAGCTTGGCCCTGCTGCGCGCCCAGCCTGGCTCCTGGCGGGTGCTCTGAGCCCGGGAGCAGGGGCGGCGGGAGCCGGGGCTCAGCGGTCTCCAGGGCTGCGAGCTGTCTGTCCCGGAATTTGACACCCGGAGAGGCAGCTGGTCCCCCATCAGGACTCCTGAGCCTTCTCAGATGGAAACAGTTTCTCCCAAAGAAGCTGTGGGAATTCTCGGTGGCGCCACTCTTGGGCTTTGCCTCCCGGAGCCTTTAATCAAGGCCCCATTGAGCACTTTGAGGCAAGGCAGGCTCCAGATGGAGCAGGGCTCCGGGTTGCTGAACAAGGTAAGCTCCTGGCTAAGGTGCGGTTGACTGGGCACCCCAGATTTCATGGAGGCCACCCTCCCCGAGGCAAGATGGTGCAGGGAAGTTTGCCTTGAGCTTCCAGGCTTCCCTTTCCCTCCCTGCGCCCCTGGGCCCTTCTCCAGCCTTCTTCTGCTTTACCTTTCCCTGCCTCCACTCATTCATGCCTTAAATAGAAAAATTCCCCTGGATGGTGCTTGGTGGGGGGACTCCCTGTAAGTTCTTAATTTAGCATGTTAACATTCGAGCTACAGGCCCATGGAAATTCCTCATCTCCCCTGCATCTCTTCCACCACCCATCCTTTCTTCCTTGGCCTAGTTTGCTGCTCTCCACTTTCCTTACCCAGTCTGCTTTTCTTTCTTGCCATCTTCCTTTCTAACTTTGCAAGGTCTTGCTTTGAAAATATGGACGGAAACAAGGGGTGTGTGGGCAGGTTGTTGTGACTTTCTGGGTCATATAATGCTGGGGCACTGGGTTTAGGAACAGTTTAGAAATCCTTTATTTGTTAAGCTTTGCTGAACACCTACTGTCTGCAGTTACTCCACCTTCTCCTGTGGGGGATAACCAGAGTAGCTTATGCACATGTTCTACAGGAAACATGTACATAAATACTCAGAAATGTCTGATTCATACTAATAAAAACTTGGAAAGTCATCCCTGGGGTGTGGATGAGTACTGTAATATCACACAAAGGAATATTATACGGTAGTCAAAAGGAATATAAACTAAGTGACAATATGATAAAATTTTAGCTATGTAGCATTAATTGGAAATTGTGTAAAAGATTACATAGAGTGTGAAAATATTTTATAATATTAACATCTAAAATCCTCAACTTCAAAGGAATATGTGTAGCTGTAATATAATAACATCATATAAATAGGAAAACAAGAGTGTGATGAATCTGAGGCTTGTGTTTATGGTTACCTGAGCAGTGGAGAAGCAGGGAACTCTATGATTAGTTAGAGGCAACTTTGAGGCAAGCTCCCAGGTGTGTTTTGGTTGGTAGGTTCAGGTATACTTATTGCATGATTATGAATGAGTAAATAATGAAATATGCCAAGGACTTGCATGAACTAATGATGAAAGCACATGATGAACCAGGTAGTAGGACAAACCCTGTTCTAGCTACTGTGGTCTGAAGTGGAAGGAGAGTAAGGAACAACAGGAGTTGGATCCCTCAGTCAGAGGGAAGGGAGCTTGACCTTATTAAGGAAGGGGGAGGCAGCCAGAGCAAGGGTAGGTTGCGGGTAGGAGAGGTTGGCTGGGACCAGCTCATGCAGAGCCTGTAGGTCAAGGTAAAGAATGAAGACTTTCAAGCAGGGAAAGGAAATGATTGGGCTTAAAATAAAACTACTGCAGATGCCATGTGAAGAATGGACTTTGGCAGGGGCCCTTGGAATCCACTGCAGTAGCAGAGGAGAGAGGTCAGTGGCGGTTGCAGACCTTGCTTCTGGGGATTCCTGCACAGAGTGCCAGCCTGGGGTCAAGTGCAGAAGCAGCCCAAGCTCCCCTTCCAGTACATGTGCTGGTGCTTGCTTGGAGGCCTGCAGGAGGTGTGCACCTTCTCCCATTGTGCTCAAGGAGCAGGGTAGGCCAACAGCAGCCCAGTGGTGGGTCAGGGTGGTGAGAATTGACCTGAAGAGACAGAGATGGATTCAGGACATATTTGGGAGGTATTATAGAGTGGACTTGCTAGGATTAGGTAAGGGCATTAGTAAGGGGTTAGTTTCAGGAGGGGTTGTCAAAGGATTAGTAAGATCTGGATAGTAAGAGGAATCAAAGGTAATTTCTGATTTTTTTTTATAAAGTGATTTTATTTAATTTTTTAAAAAAGATTTATTTATTTATACAAGCACTGGGTACAGTCAGAAGCGTGGGAGGGTGAGAGAATTCACCAGAGCCAGAGCAGGGAACAGAACAGGCAGACTGATGAAATACACTGCTGAAGGGAGCAGCAGGCACAGCAGGCGCAGCAGGCGCAGCAGGATAGGTCTGCACGCCATGTGGGACCCTCACCTGGCGGCCGGGGATAAACCTGGCGCTACAGAGGCTGCGGGCAGCTTCACAGCCCAGTGCTCAACCACTGCACCACCAGGGAGGCCCAACTTCTGGATTTTTTATCTGACTGAGAGGATATTGCTTCTGTTGGAAGAGAAGAGGGAGAGCAGCAAGAGGAAAGAAATCATATTTTAGACATATTAACTTTAACATGCCAAGTGTAACTGTCAGGTACGGATAGTCTGAAGCTTGAGGGAGAGTTTGGGGCAAGAGACACACATGTGGGAACTGTCAGTTGGAGGCTAATGTAGTTCAAATTCTTCTATCTGAGGGATGAAGAAATCCTATATTGTCAAAATATTAAGAATTTAAAACAATGGTAGGTCATTAAAAATAAATAAATAAATAAATAAATGTATGCCATAGATTGAAAAGTCAAATACACCAAAAAAAAAAAAAAAAAAAAAAAAAGGAAAACAAATTCCTCTGCCTGGATATCGTTGTCAATTGTGAACTTCTCATGGGCAGAGACATTTAGATGTGTTTTTATCCCCAACAGAGTAGAATACGTCATTATTAAATATTGGTGGACCAGATGACAGAGGGATACATGGAACATTTAGATGTGAGGAGATGGAGGATGAGTCCCAAGTTTCTGGCCCTGTTTGGTGTCGACAGTTTGAGTCTGTGTAGTTTTTAGTTGCTCCTGAGGCCAACACTGGTCTGATCACGGTGGCAGCCCCCCAAGGAGGCTGTAACCCAGGGGGCTGAAGACTAGTGCCCCGTGTAGGTACACACAGCCCTTCCGAACAGCTAGAAATGGCAAGGACCAGAGGCTGACGGCCCAGAATGGCCACAAGCCTCGCAGGGGTCACAGTTGATGAGAGAGCCCTGGGTTAGAAACAGGAAGTCAGCCAGGAACGCAGAGACCTCATGGGTCCTGGGGCAGAGTGACGTCAAAGGAGGTGGAGAGAGGAGCTGGAACTGAATGGTGGAATCCAAGGCAGCTGCAAAAATGGAGCCACAAGGTTGCACACCATCGTGGCATGGGCATATTAGGTACTCATGGGGGGACTAGCTTGGGACAGCACACGCCTTCCTACCGCCCCACTCCCTTGCCACCCAAGGCCCTGTGTTATCTTTGTGATTTCTCATTTAGAAAGTGGTTGCTGGGCCTCCCCAGTGGCGCAGCGGTTGAGCGCTGGGTTGCAAAGCTGCCCGCAGCCTCTGAAGTGCTGGTTCTATCCCAGGCTGCTCCCCGGCCACTGGAGGAGGGTCCCACATGGCGCGCAGACCTCTCCTGCCGCCCGCTGCTCCCCTCAGCAGTGTACTTCGTCAGTCTGCCTGTTCTGCTCCCCACTCTGGCTCTGGTGAATTCTCTCACCCTCCCGCGCTTCTGACTGTACCCAGTGCTTGTACAAATAAATAAATAAATCTTAAAAAAAAAAAAAAATAGAAAGTGGTTGCTGAGGCTTGTCCATGCCTGATATCTCAACCCAGGCCCCTGCAAGGCCTCTTGTATAGCACTTGCCTTCGCCAAACCCTCTCCAGGTTGGGCAGGCGGAGCTGCCCGTGCTCTGTTGCATGTGTACCCACAACATTCTCCCGTATGACCGTATCACCGCGTCCCACCGCCCTTAGGGCTGCTAGTTCCCCAGCCAGCGGCCTCTCAGAGCGTCTCCTTCCACATCGTTGCTCTCTGTCTCCGTGGCTCACAGGGTCCCCTGGTCTGTTCATTGGCTTATCCCCAGTACATCTCTCATGTGTCACTGGCGTGTAGCCAGTAAAGGACTGACTCGCGGTGTGTGTGCAGGGATGCGAAAGGAACAGGGGCCAGGGGAAGAGGGAGAATTGTCCTTTTCGCTTGACTTTGAGTCTGTCAAAACGAGACCATCCCATTATCACGGATGGTAGAGGCATAACGACCCCTCTGCAGGCAGCCAAGTTCAGTATTGCTTAAGAGAACGGGTTTGCAAGAGAGTAGACCTGGAGTTGAAAGCTGGCCCCACCACCTAGAGGCCACGTCCCCTCTTCCAGAGGCCCGCTGTCTTCAGCTGGACAAGGTGGTTAATAGCAAAATCTGCCTCATGTCGCCATCACAAGTGTTAACTAAGATAATGGGATGAAGCTTCTGAGCACAGGGCCTGCCATGGAGGAAGCACACACAGTCCTATGGTTATTTTTCAAGGCAATTAACCGTCAGCGCCTCTCCGACTCACCTGACTTGAAGGAATGCTGCCTATTCCGAGACCTCAGGCACCCTGTCCTGAGGTGTCTGTGCTCTGGCAGGGTGGTAGGAGTCTTTTTGGGGGCAGATTCATTTGTCATGTGATCACAACATGGGAAAATGTGATGCCCAGAACATGTGTTTTTCAATGTACCTCTGTAGTTTTTATCCTTGTGGAAGATTATTGGTAGTGGCTGTTGTTGCTGCCTATAGGCAGTCTGGGTGGGAAGCGCCTACCAGACCTGCAGTGCAGCAAGAGTTTTTGACTCCAGCAGGTCTGAAACACGGGAAACACCGAGGGAGCAGCTCCTCTCACAGCTCCTCAGCGCTTTCCGCAGTAACTGATTAGATTATCTCATGCTGGGGAAACTTGGTTAACTAGTCATTTTCTTTGCCTTTAAGCATGAGGTTTGTGAAACACATGGGAAATAAAAGCCGTAATTTATCAAGGGTGATTTTGGAAAGGGCTTTTAAAATTCGATTTGCTTCAGTGTGTTAGATATCAAGTTATATGTTAATGAACTAGTAAAGGGATGCTGCTAAAATGTTTGTTTCGAGTGCAGGGAGACCAGTCTGAATGAGTAAAAAGTCTGAATTACAGTGCATGTGAGCTATTTCAGAAATACCTTTGTTTTTGTTTCAATTCATGCAGTAATGGTACCCAGAAAGTGTTTTTATGCTGGAGTCTCTTCCTGCATGGATAGGTAAAACGCATGTGTAATTAGTAATCACACATTGAATGTAAAAAGGGAA